TGATACCCTCCTACCTCAGGCAGTTTTGATTGGCCCCATCCAGACCAATCAGAGACATTGTCTAGGACTTTTTGAATGGGAACTGAGGGAAGAGGATAGTCCCTCTCTGGTGACACGATGTGCAAAATGTTCCATTCAAGAATCAAGAGGTCGCAGATTCTCAGATATTTGACAGCTGAGACAACCTACTGCTTTGTGTCCCTGAGGACTCGTGAGGCTGGTGGCAGGAGAGTGGGGTAGAGGGGTGGGGGGTGGTCTTCTGTGGCTGCACTGTTCCGCACTACAGCCTGCTTCTCCCGGGGATTTCTCCATGGAAATGCTGCCCTCACGGGGGCCAGGCTCACTTTGGCCCCACAATGCCCTCCAAAGGTCTTACTCCTCATCCTTTCTCTGGCCTGAGCCTTGCCCAGCTGGGCCTGGAATGGCGAACCCCAGAATTCCTGGCCGAGCGCGGAGCCCTTCTGCTGTCATCCGAAATTCACCCAGAGAGACCTCCCACCCACATCTGCTCCCTCCCCTCCAGGGGGCCGGGTGTGCACACGCACGGGGCACACAGCTGCGCTAGGCGCACATGCACCAGGCACACACGCAGACGCACGCCCACTCACCCTCTCACAGCACGCTCCCATTAATAGATGCAGATTCACACTTCATGGAGTACTTTGTGCCCTTGAATCCCACCCTCTCGTTTCCACGCATGCGCACACACACTCGGCCGCATCCGCACGCGGGCGCAGGAGCATCCGCAAATGCCCATGACATCCAACACCCACACCCACACACACACACTCACAACACATCCCCACAATCCTCTTCTTTGGGACAAAGCAGACTTGCCCTGGGAAGCCCTTGTACCCCAGTGTGTGCAAAGAGAGCAGGAGGAAGTTAGCAAGCGGATGGCGGGCTGGGGCAGGGGAGCAACACGTGGCAGGAACGGAAATGGGCTTTAGTCCCAGGATTTCAATAAAAAGTGGTTTTATTAATATATTGTTTCATCATCATGCTGTGCTCACTTAACCTGATCGAGGGCAAGTTCACTGCCCTTGCCTGGACTGGGGTTGCCCATCTGCAAGATGAAGTTAAAGGAAGTATTCTGTCATCTCCCCTGTCCCCCTGTCCCCCTGTCCCCCTGCCCCCATGCCACTGGACGGAGAGTGTGTGATTTCATAGGTAACTCTTGGCAGGTGTGAGAAACTTGTCGCCTCTCAAAGCATTTCCAAATCCCCACCTGACTGGATTCGCACAACCTAGATGGGAACCTGGGGGCTCAGGATAGGCTAAGTCCCGTCCCCAGTTAGTGGTGGGGCCAACAGGGAGCACCTGGGTGTCCCCAGGGTTCTGGGTTGCCAGAGTGGCACAGACGCCTTCCCATCTCCTGTCCAGGGGTGGGGGGGATTCGCTCCCCCAGAGAAGTCACAACCCCTGGAACCTCCAGCTTCTCCCTTCTTTCTTTCACTCAACTACTAGTGAGCGAATATTCAGTACCTACGACAAGCTAGGAGCTGCGCCGGCCGCGAGGGTAGAGGCCATCGCTGCCCCCGGCCAGCCTGCATTCCAGAAGAGGAGCAGTGAACCCTGCGTGTGCGTGGTGGGACTGAAGGTGGAAGTTCAGGGACCCCTAGGGGCACATGGGCGTGGGCCCTCAGGGTCCAGGAAGATTTCCCTGAAGAGGACTGATGCCTTCCTGGACTGGATTTGAAGGAATAAATGAAATGGCAGCGGAAGAGTGGGGGGTTCCTGTGCTGAGCCCCAAAGGTCAGGGAGCCAAGCCACTGGGAGAACTCACCCCCTCTCCCCTACCCCCCGCCACCAGTCGGCTCTGGGGACACAACCCTGCACAGCTAGTGCCTCCGAGGCCACCGACTCTCCTCAGAACGTCCTCCTTTCAGTGTCACCCAAAGGCTGGCTGCTGCAGGGCTCTGGGGACCCGCCAGCTTTCCCTCTGCTTGGCCTGCCTCCCCTCGTCTCCAGGGAAGCAGGACTCATCCTAGGCCTGATTTATTAGCCTCGTCCTGGAAGCATCCCGGATGCTGTCACTGGTTTCATTTACTGACCTGCCTGAGGGCTGGGGAAGGAAATTCATTAGGCCGGGGGAGCTGGCGGCCGGGCCCATCTGTCTGGGCATCTGTGCCCCCATCCTCCCTCCCTCCCTTCTCTCCCCTCCCCTCCCCCTCTTCTGTTCTCTCCACCTGCAAAGGGAGGAGAGTTCTGTACCTGCCACCTCGCTCAGGGTCACCAAGGCAATGACAGCACAGGCAGACCTGGCCCCAGAGGGGAGGCAGAGCTCCTTAGGCATTGCAATCCCAGGCTCCAGGGCGTGCCGCCCTGCCCGGGGAGACAGAGCCTCGTCCATCTGGGGCCCCGGAAACCTCTCTCCCGGTGCAGGTATACACCAGACCTGCCTTCTTTGTTTGTTGGTTTTTATTTTGTTTTGTTTTGTAAAAGGTGTCTTTCTGAGCAAGTCGTATGGAAATCAGATCTTCTGATGCTGTTATGTTTAAAGCTAAAGGCAAGAGGGGACTTCCAGGGCACTCTCATCCCAAAGCGGGGCAAGCAAGAGGATCTGAAAGGAGTACAGGGATCAGGGCCCTTTACTTTAATATGTATTAAATTCATTTTAAAAATATATCCATTTATAAGTAGCATATCTAATCTTTGATTACTTAAGATATAATTGCTTTGAGTAAAGCTTTTAAATATTTTTAAAAGCAGATCAATTTTTAAAATGCTAAATAAAGAACAGTTACAGGAGATGTACAGATTTGGCAAAAACATTATAGAGTTTAGGACACATCACTTTAAATGAACTAGGCAGTGAATGCATCGCCAAAGTTCAACTTTTCTTGAGGTGAGGGCCACCTTGACGAGGCCCGCCCATCCCGCCGAGGGGAAGTGCAACCCCGCGTCACCTGGTCCGCCAGCACCTGCTCTCCTCGGCCCCCAGAAGGGAAAGCACTCAAACCAGAGGTTGCCCGTGTGCCGTGGCCCTGGGGCTTTAAGCAAACATGGCCTCGGGTCTCAGGAAGTGTTTAGCCTCAGTGACTGGCTGGCAGTCACTGTCCCTGACATCTCGTACCATGGCAGCCAGTGGGGTGCAGGGAAGGGGACCCGCTCCCCTCCACACGGTTACCTCTTCTGGCCTGAGGAGACGTAAGGTGCTGAGACCCTTGGAGGCTGCAAGGAACAAATGAAGAGCAGCGTTTGCAGCTTCATTTGTGTTGGTAGTAGCCTGAAGTCTCTCTCTCTCTCACAAAACACACACACATACACAGCAATCACTGTGCACACTCACCACCATCTACACACTCTCTCCCTGCCTCTCTTTCCCTCTCTCTCAACACACACACACACACACACAGAGCAATCACTGTCACCGCCATCTACACGCACACAGAGACACAGCCTACATCGTCACAGGCAGCCATTTACATGCAGACAGACTGTCTCCTCAAACACAGAAATGTTGCTATGGATACACCCCCCCCCCACAAACATCTGCGTACATAAAAAAACATCAACACACCTTCATGTGTGCACATACACGTGCACAGACTCATTTCACACACACATAGATACAACAACCATGCCCACAGGCACCTGCCTATATACACATGCACACGAGGACACAGCACTAGCACAGAGAGAAGCAAGCCCACAGACATGTCTGCCTGGATATTCAAACACATGCAAATAGAGAAAGGCAGGTGTCACATACACAAAGAAGGACACCTCTGCACAAAGACACACAACACACTCTCACACATGTACAGCCATAGATCTGCCATGATGCATACAAACCAGTACACATGTAGGTGAACTCACACACACACACACACACACACACATATGAAAAGGATGTGAATATATACTCCCAGCTGTAGTACAGAACAGCCACCTTTGGCTTGGGAACGTCACATCAGATGTAACAGGATCTGTTGCCCACGTGTCTCCTCTCTGCCAGCTTCTTAGCTCATAGAGGATGCCCCAGAGCAGGGCCTGAGCTAGGGGTCTAGGTACCAGGAGGAAGGTATCCCTGGCCCTCTGTCAGCCTCCCCTGCCACCGAGGTACATGGGAGGGGCCAAGATCACACCAGACCCTCACCCCACACAAGCCTTTGGTACCTGATTTGTATTAGACACTCCATCTAGGGCTAGAGCATGAAGCCAGATGACCCACTGACACTCAATCACAAGGACAGGAGAGAAAAGGGGGACCAGAGACCATTTGGGGTAGTGGAGTCAAGCAGACCAGAGTTCAAATGCTTCCCCTGCCTCTCCAAAGCTGTGGGCCTTGAGCAGATCACTTCACCTCTCTGAGCCTCAGTCTCTTCATCTATAAAGTGGGTGTGGTGATAATCCTAGCTCAAAGAATGGCATGAGGACTAAATCAGATGGTAGAAAGGCCAGACAAAGCACCCAGCACAGTTCCCAGCACATGGTAAGCAGACCGTGCACCAGGGTTTCTCAGCCTTGGTGTTGCTGACATTTTGGGCCAGATAATTCTTGCTGTGCACGTGTGGTTGGGGGATGCCCAGTAGTACAGGATGTGCAGCAGCACCCCTGGCCTCCACCCACTAGGTGCCAACAGCACCCTCTTCCAAGTTGTGACAACAAAACATGTCTCCAGACACTGCCACATGTCCCCTGGGGGCAAACCCCTCCCCTGTTGAGGGTCACTGCTATAAATGTCAATTGCTCTTATTATTTCTGTTGCTATGGTTGTCATCATCATCATTAGGATGACGTTAGCTCTAAGACAGAACAGAAAGGGGACCCAGCGCAGAATGAGAACATGCCCTTATTCCAACAGTCACTTTCCTCCTCTCTCTCCTCCTCCCCTCCTCTTTCTCTGCATTTGCTCCCAAAGCCACCTCACCTGACCAGACCTGGCCTAGCTGAGAAGCTGAGGGGAACATGGTCAAGGCACCTGCAGGGGAGCGGGGAGTGGGGTTGGAATTGGTTCCCCCAAATAAGCAGGCTGGCCAGGAGCAACCACACACCTGGAAAGCAGGCTTCCAGGGACGAAGTTCAGGATGCACCCAACTTCTGGGTGACTTTGGGTGGGGTGGGAGTGGGGAGCCAGGACCAGGGAAGCCAAGAGCGAGGAAAGCCACCTGGAAAAACAAAGGGGCAGGACAAATGGCTTCTTGGAAAGGAACTTTGTTATAGTGATTAAAATACAAAATATTCATAGATTTTGACTAAATAATTCTTTACGAGAATCTATCCAACATACCACCAGTTTATAAGATTTGTGAGTTGTGTCTTTATCGCAGCACTGTTTGTAGTGGCAAAGATCTGGAAACAGCAGTTGTATGTCCATCAACTGAGGGCCAGTTGAGTAAATCACTGGTCAACCACCCAATGGAATATTAATGCAGTTTTAAAAAGAAATGAGCTATTTAGCCAATAATCTGGATTGCTGTCTAGGATACAGTTAAATGAGAAAAACAAGATATAGCATAATGCCAATAATGGGATCCCACTTTTTGGTAAAAAGCATCTAAAAAGCCCTATTTGTGTATGTGTTTGAGCATGAAGACCACTAACACCAGTTGCTGGGCAAGAAAGGAGGAATGAAATGAACGTGGAGAGGTTACTTTTTGTATAGATGTGTATATATCGATGCATGTGATCACTGGGCGTTCTCACTCGTAGTAATGAGAGAACCCTACTTTGTACAATTCTGCCAAAAAATTTAGTAAGGGATGTTGTTCAAGGAAAAGAACTCAGGACTGAACTAATCTCCGAATCTGCGGCTTTAGTGTATGGCGGGCAATTCATTCATTCATTCATTCACTCATTGATTCACTCAACAGATACTTCCTGAGAGAGCACTGCTGTAGGCACAGCCCAGTGGCAGGAAACAAGATGCACCCGTGCCTCTCGGAGCTCACGCCCTGGGGGAGAAGCAGACAACAGAGGAACACCTGTGTATAAAGCGTTGTGAGGTCATGTTTGCATGAAAAATAGAGCTGGGCAGGGACAGAGAGTGATGGGTGGTGGCCTGTCCTCTAGATGGGGTGGTCAGACAAGGTCCCTGGGCACACACCTGAAGGGACTGAGGGAGCAAGAAGCCAGGGAGAGACTCGAGCAAGAGTGTTCCTACAGAGGGTTCTGAAGGGTAAACCCCTGGCGACACGTTTGTCATGTTCACGCACAGGAGATGGTGCTTTGCACACACAGGAAGGATGCTGAACTTGAATGCAGATGAGGAGGACACCTTTGGAAGGTTTTGGGAAAAGGAACACAATGGTCTTATTTCCCCCTGGCCAGGTTGGCTAAAGAGTCTCAAGTTTCTTCTAGAAAAGCAGGCTGCATCGTTTCTGGACTTCGTCAAGACTTCCATCAGCCCAGGCCCTGGTAGTCCTGGTGGGCTCAGGCAAGAACTGAAGGCACACAACACCCCAGTCGTTCTTATGAACTAAAGCCCTGGATGCAGACCAGTGGGCACTCTCATCTTTCGCTGGGGGGAGAAGCCTCGCAGAATGATCCCTTTGGAAACAGTCCAGCTTTACCCAGTTCAGCTGAACACACACATACCTGGGGAGCCACAGCTGGAGTCCCGGCTGTGTACCCTCCAGACACTCACGCACTCGCGTGCCTGGAGCGCACACTCATGGCAACACTACTAACGATTGCAGAAATCAGAACAGCCCAAACGTCCAGAGAGTAGAATCCGTGAGGAAACAAGGCGATACTCCTCCCACAGAACACAGCCCAGCAGTGAGGACGGATGACCCGCTGCACACCCGGGCCTGGGGGAGCCTAATGCGAGTGAAATCAGCAAGTCACAGAACGCGTCCAGTCCGATTTCATTTACACAAAGTCCCCAAGCAGCCAAAACTGCTTTCACATTGCATAGGAATCCGTAAGTAGGTCATCAAATTATAAAGAAAAACAAGGGAAGGATTAACACATCATTCAAAATAAGGTGGCATAGACATTGTAATTTTTTTTAAGTGAAAATAGTTGATACTTCATTGTGTAACTCACTTAAAAAGAAGTCAAAATTAGAGGGGAGGATATAGCTCAGGGGTAGAGTGCATGCTGAGCGCTGGGTTCAATCCTCAATGCCTCCATTAAAAAAAAAAGTAAATAAATAAACCTAATTACCTCCCCCACCAAAAGAAGCCAAAATTTATTAATATCTCCGACTTATTTTGTTGTTAAAGTAGAAGATGCTGATCAGATTATCAAGATACGAAATTAACCCCTCCTCCCTTTTCCGTGAGGTTGTAGGTTTCCAGCAAAAGAGCGCCGCACAGAGGCTGTGTTGTTTCAGCCTTGAAATAAGCTACATAATTATGCCCATTTCAGAGGGAAGCAGAGTGAGGCTCAAAGAGGTACGGCCACCTACCCAAGGTGACCTGGGATTCAAATCCAGGTCAGTGTGACTCCAAAGCCAGAAAGGACTCAAAGCATGGGAAGAACCGAAAATAGGCCAGGGTGGCTGGTGTACGGTGTGTGAGGGCCCGAGGCTGCAGGGGTTTGTAGGTCGCGGAGAGAAACGTGGGTTTTATTAATGGTGCCCTGGGGAGCCACTGATGGGTTTTAAGGGCAGAACAGTGACAAGGCCAGATCTGCATTTTATAAAAATTCCTCCAGCCGCTGTGTCAAGAATAGACTGGGAAGGAGCCAGAGTGATTGTGGAGACAATCCCTGCCACGGCGTCGAGTGCAGACAGAGGGGAGCTAGCACATTCTCGAGACTTTTCAGGGAGGGTCACCCAACTTGACGACGGATTGAACTGGGGGCTTGAGGAGAAAGGAGAGGTCAAGGGTCATCCAGGTTTCTGACTTCAACAACTGAGTAGAAAGTAGTGACCTTTGAAATAATTGAAGAAAAAGCAATTGGAGGAAGGGGAAGCCCTTTAATTAAATAGGCCTTCTGGTTTCTGTCCTGGTCCCCACGCTGGAGCAAAGGGACAAGCATGAGCTGCAGTAAGAGTCGCCCCTGCCCCCCAGCAGAGGCTGTGCCCCCAGCCTGCCCATGCACCCCGACTCCCTTTCTCTGCTGCTCAGTCCTTTTCCAGGGGCTCCCTCTGCCTTTCATGCAAACTGATGCCTCTGTGGGCCCAGGCCTGTCTGAAGCCCTGGGGGAGTCCAGGCTCGGCTGCCAAGCTGCGACCCCCCCACCGCCGTGTATTTGGTGTTGTTTGCTCCTCTTGCCTTGGGGGAAGTCCTCTGGTTCTCTGCCTTTTGCAAGGTTGGAGAGAGTCCTCAAAAATCTGGCCTAGGAGCTACCAAAAACTGCTCTCAGGGTCTCCTAGAAGTTCGGGAGGAGCATGAAAAGCAACTGAACATATTTCTTCTTCCCCTAAGTGTGCCTCTGAATTATTTAATAATTTGCTTTTCCTGGAGATGGTAGAACAGAGTGCTTTAGCCAGTGGCCTTTGGAGTCACACAGTTTTAGGATGCAGCCAGCTCTTGCTGCAGCCATAGCTGTGTTATCTTGGGTGTGGGAGCCCAGGGCCTGGCACATAGTAGGGCCTTTTACTTAATGGAAGATGGTAGTAATTTAAGGAAGGTGAGAATGGACGAGAGAACTATGGCTGGAAGAGCCCTTAGAGATCTTCGTGCCATTATAGAGGTGGGGTAAACTGAGGCCCGGAGAGATTGAAGGGTCTGCTCTAGAAATTCCATTAGATGTAGAAGTGGGGAGTAAATTCCACCCCTTGACCCCCAGTCCAGTTTTCCCTGAAGACCTCCTCTGGGAGAGCTGGGGACACTGGCGGAGGCAGCAGAAATTACACAACACGTGCTTCCAGTTGACCGTGAGGCTGGTCTAGAGCAGAGGCACACGGGTGCCATGGGCTGGGTGGGTTTGCCTGTTTGCACAGGGTAGGCAGCACGATGATCTGAAAAATATCTGAACACGTTGCTACAATTTACAAATCAGGAGGTTTCAGATAAAAATCCAAATTACTGAATTTTGGGGAAAAAATCAGAAGATGTGATCACCCTGGACCTGTATTCATTCATGGCAATACCTGGCTGGACCTGGTGCTGCTCCCTTTGGCTGGCTCTGCGCTCTCTACTTTGCCACAGTCTCCACCCCTCTCTATTGTCTCCTGGATACTACAGGCCGGTGTTGCCTACAGTCGACCATCATGCTTGACCTACTGCATTTTGAACATGCGGCCCACTTCCCTCATTTGTCTGGCCTACCCTGTCACGTAGTCATGCATTTATGATTCTGGCCCCAGAGCATCTCCTTAAAAAATATTTTTAGGAGACAGAGCTATATACACATTCTAACCCATCTGTACCATATTACCTTCTGTTGTGTAATCCTGAGTCATTTCTCCCAAACTCGTGGCAAATGAAATCTTCCTCCTCACGTCTGTTTGGAAATGGAAAATCCTGCCTGCAGTCTCGTGGGACCCTTTCTCTAGATTCCTCACTTTTCCTCTTAGTTTGGATTTTACCAAGGGTTACGGTCCTCACTTTTCCACATTTTTTTCCTTCCCCACCTCCTAGCCCCCTTGCCTGCCCGTGAAGGGCCGCTCCTCCTCTACTCCGTGCAGAAGCCCAGCTCTGCGCTCTGCCCCCTGCAGCTCGGAGGGGCTTGCTCTTCCTTTCTGCATCGGGGGAACAGACAGCATCGCCAAGTGCACTATTTACCTGGGAGGTGGGGCAGGGCTGAGGTCAGATTTCTTGAATTTCTTGGAGCAGGAGAAACAACCATCACCTCCCTCCCCCCACGGGCTGCTCTGGACAGTGGGGTGAGAAATCTTTACCTGCCTCGTCTCCACTTTCGGAGATGAATGAATGAAATGTCCTGCCTGTTCAGAGCCTCTGTTCAGGCCTGCAACACTTTCAAACATGCTGTAGCCTCCCAGCCAGCCTCCCTACCTCCACCTCTTCCCCTCCTGCCCCTTTTTCACCCTGCCTCAAGCATGACCAGGTCTCTCCAGTGCTTAACTGCCATCCAGAGCTCCCCATCACCTCCAGAACAAAGCCTAAGGCCTTAGCCACCCGGGTGGGGCCACCAAACTTCCCAGCCTCATCTCTCGCCTTCCCCGTGAGCCGTGGGCACTCGGGCCAGAAAGCCGCAAGCTCTCACCTGGTCCTCTGTTTTGCCAGTGCTTCTTCCCCTACCAGCACAATCTCCCGTCCAG